GCAGTCAGTTCGCAAAAGCGCAGCCAGCAACAAAAGAGCAGATACCCTAGCGAACGAAGCACTTTTAATGAAAACCGACAGTAAAAGCTCCTGCGAAACAACTACCGAAAGAAACAGTGCGACGCCATTTTCATTGTTAATGGAACTTGTGGAATCAGCATAGTGTTACAAGAGGTCTTGGTCTTACCAAGTCAACCTTTTCCATACATTAACATGTAGGCATTCCGGATTGGTGTGCACCTCTGTTTAGTCCATTAGAATAAAGATAGCTCCTTCCATATTGTGTACTAAGTGCGATGAAGTTGGCGATATGGGCCGCTGAATCCCGTCCTGTAATTGATTTTGCCCTGACAGGTTGAGACTCGTGGAGGACGTATAAAAAGGAGGGTCTTCCCACTATAGCTGCGAGGAGATAGTTCCCGGGAGATCCGCAGGAGACAGGCTACATGGAAGAAATCGCTCAGGCGTAGTAATCTATGTCTGCCCGGTTAACCCCCCTTGTGGCAGCATCGTCACCACACCGCGACCATAAAACATGTCATCGTGCCTTCTTCGGGGTCATTTATGCGGTGGCGGTATAACGTCGATTTAATGAGTTCTCTTAGTAAGTGCATTTAGTGGCATGCAGTTCAAGTAAACTTCAGGGATACTTGAAGCGTACTTGACATTGCAGCCCCATATACCAACATCACTGCAAGCGCTGCTGTACTTGATGTCACGAAATGTGCAAAAGAACTTGAGCATAGAAGTACTAGAAGTACAGAAGTACTTGTTTCGCGCGAAAACGCAGTATTCGCGCAGCAGAATGTGAGGCCATGATGATTCATTGATTTGTGGGGTTTAGCGTCCCAAAACCACCATATGATTATGAGAGACGCCGTAGTGGAGGGCTCCGGAAATTTCGACCACCTGGGGTTCTTTAACGTGCGCCCAAATCTGAGCACACGGGCCTACAACATTTCCGCCTCCATCGGAAATGCAGCCGCCGCAGCCGGGAATCGAACCCGCGACCTGCAGAATGTGAGGCCAGTGAGATGCAAATGTCGGTGTAGCCATAGACTGAGGGCTTCATCTGCTTATCGAGCAATAAAGCTTAAGGTACTACTACTACTACTACTACTACTACTACTACTGCTACTACTACTGCTACTACCTAGTACATTTACTACTACTACTTAACGCTCCAATGAACACTTCTAGCCTGAAGGACGTGTCTATCTTAGCAGGTGCCATTCCCATGAGGAAAGTGAGCTCTTCGTGCGAACGGCCTTTCCGTGTGCGCATTACCTGTGTAAGCCGTATGTTCGTTAATCGCTGCACAGGTGCGCGGCCCTTATTCGTTTCCAAGTGGAAGGCCGAGGACACAGATTGTTTTCTGGGAACTATTCAACAACGCGCATTGTTCTGCGATAACGGGGCACAAAAGATAACAGCAGTAGTCGCCTGCTTCCTATATAGTCGTCGTTGGTAAGCACGCTTAGTGACGTCATCGTTAAATACAGCTCGGGAATTTTTTTTTCTTTCCCGGCGGGAAGTCCCACGCACAAACTGTAATGCCCTAACTCATGCATTGTTTGCTTATACATCTGTCGAGTTGTGAAGCACATCAAAAAAGGCATACTTTTTTCGGCAAGAGACTTGTAAATCATGCGCACGGACTGTGGGATTTAAAGCGACGTTTTTCCGCCGTCGTGTATGCTATGCGCTATACAGAAAGAAAAAAAAAGCCCTTACCGAATATGCGTGTGAAAGCTTTATCTTTTCAAATTAAACAGTCCGTAAACTGATACAAAATCATTGTACCGGTGGTGCCACTGAATCTGACGCTTCGGCAAGTCGTTTTGCCTTCTGCGAGGCACCATCTGCTTTGAGAAACACGGCAACTGGGCTGCTGTCTTGACGACAACGACAATTTTGTTGCGGCCTTGAAAAACATGCGAGATGACTTTTCCAAATTATCAGGCCCAGCTTGATGTCTCCCTCTGGTCCAAAGGTGACATCTTCTAGCGTGGGCCATGCTACTACTCCGGCGACATCTTGTTTAGAATTCGTCTGAATGGCCCATGACTATAGACGAGGCACAAGGAGAGGAGTTCTTTTATATGCTCTAAAGTGAAAGTCACGTGCACTTCTTCCCTTGTCCTTGGCCTTGTAACTCACTGTTTCAACGAAATTAACTCCAACTTTCTCGCGCACCCTGAGCCCCATTCCTGTTCCGGGTCCTCCGTCTCGAAATCCGTTGAAGGGGGCAGTTCTTTCTCGAGTGCCTCGTCTCGTCGAAAAGACACATTTTGCGAGAACGTCGAGTTGATTCCGCAGGCCGCCTTTTTTGCATAACCTCGCGCGGCGTGTGTTTCGGGATGGTCCGTTGCTCCCGAGGAACGCGACACTTTCGGTGGACCTTCTACGCAGTCGCGTCCCCGGGTTGAGTTTGGTAGATTGCGAGAACGCCCCCCCCCCCGCGTCGTGTCCGTGTGCTGCCTCGGCCTTGTAACATTAACAGAGGTCCAATAGGTTTTGGATCATGTTTAATGAGGCTTTTTTGTTTCTCCGAAAGCCTGATAAGCCATATTGAAACGGACTGTCAACACTCGGTGAAATACACCGCACGGAATAGGCATCCTTGCCCTGGCTACTATGTGCTGCGCAGAGATAGCTAATCGCTTCTAAACTGCAAATAAAATACGTGAGGTTGCCCGAAAGTAGCACTATCTTACTGTTACTTTTGAAATGAATGTACTTTCTCGGAGTATACCAAAAGTTCACGAATGATGCACTACTCATGTAAATTTTACGTGGCCATCTCAGAGATGGTTCACGTTGGAGCTTCGGCCCGCAGATCAACCTGTCTTTGCTATTTCTCGTGTACCCTGGGCTGTGGAACATTGCGCTGCGTGGGAGTAACAGCTCAAAGGAGCACTTTGTTGAAAATTACTTTTCATGGCATTTTTTGGCCAATTTTTGCGCTCTAATGAAAGCGGACATACCGTGCTTTGGCGAAAGAGAATTGGAAAAGTAATGAGTAGTTCTTCAGAGTACTTGTTAGAAGTGATTTATTAAAAACTAGCATGATACAAAAATCACTGATTTAGAGTATTCATTACTGAAGAAGCAATTTAGTTTGTTTAATTTCGTTACTAAGTGTGTCATCGCTGCCAAGTCTGCACTGCGTGAGAAATCGTATACTACTACGTGACCTTCATACGACGAAGTCTCCCGTATTAGGAAGAGTTTTCAAGGCTCCGGGCACTTTTTATGTACAAGGTTGTTTGGCTGGTATTGCAGTCGCCTTCACCTTCAAATTGCGTGTACCAAAAGACAAAAAAAAAAAGAGACACCAAAGCTCGTAGAGGAGCACTCCTTTCACGTCCGGCTTCGCCTTGGCTCTTACTGGCTTCTGACGCGCTGCGGGGTGGTCTTTCCTTCCCCCCCAAAACTCCTTCGCATGCCTGTCCGCGGCTTTCGAGTCTCCAACGCTGCACTTTATGTGAACACCCGTCCCTCACCTTCCTGCAACATCTTGACGGATGCCTGGGTCCTTTCACTCTCTTGCATATTTAAAGGTCCGTCGCGGCCGTTCTTCCTTCTCGGCTGTCACAGGCGCACTCCTTGCCCTCTGGTTCCTTCTACCTTCTATCTTTACATTATCAGTCACTGCCGTTCCCATCTACTTTGCCGGTTTGTTGACCTTGTGTTTACTCTTTTATTTATCTTTGTGCGTCGCTGTGTTCTTTTCGCATGCCACTTCCCGACCTGTTTTCCAGCCGTTGAAGCCCCCAGTTCTTGATACCCTTTTTTGAGCTACCGTTCGGTTGCACGCTTCGAAGGTATCGTGTCTCGTTAAAGCGCATCTTCTTGACGGACGCTTAGTCCCTTTAGAGCTCCACATTATTTCACTTCTTTTTTCCCTTAGCTTTTTCGCGTCTCTATATAGCGTCGCCCACTCGAAAAAGAGCACACGCGAATATGTATACATATTGCGTACGTCTCTCCGAATCAAGCTCTGGTGAAACCTTGTCGTTACATTGTTGCGGATACGCTGCTTGCTCTTGCATCTTTTTGTCAGGTGACATCGCGTCGGTCTCGCTGCCGTTGCCGTGTTCTTTATTGGTGACTTCGTTGCACACGTAGAGAGTGGTAGAGGTATCTTGGCTGGCAGTCCAAGGCTTGTAGCAGCGCAGCGAGGTGCTCGCAGCTATTCAGCCGAGTCGGGCCAGTTTAACTCTCGCAGTTGACCCGGCTAGGTATGTGTGTTCGCGGTAAGGTGAATCGACTATGACTCTGCGACGTTGAACTGGCTTCGCTCGAAAGAAACAGGATGCTGCGGAATCGCCCCTTTCGGAGAATGCAAGCTGCGTCCGTCCATAAGAGGTTCCGCTTGAGTATTGGGTTTTGTGCTAACGAGCTCGAGGAAAAGTCGCTTTGGGCTGGTGAAGTGTTTCTTGGCCAGTAAATGTGGTCGTAGGTTTCGGCTTCCTGTCGAGCCTGGTTTCATTCTGAGAACTCCAGGAATCGCTTTTGCTGCCGTCTACATTCAAGAAGTGCTGAAGAGCAGACACACTCGAAGCTTTCAAATGTGACATTGGTTTCAGTAGTTTGGCTATTCACAGCTTCAAATAAATCAATTAATCAGAGTTCATTTGTGTGCAGGATGGAAAGCGGAGTGCTTAGGAGTTTCTTCATTCTGCCAATCAGCCTGGTAATCTCATAAACCGTCATGTCAATTGAGAAATCGTCAGACTTCATTCATTTGATGAAGATAACCTGTCTGAATTTAGGTTGTGTGCGAAGGAAAGAGCCGTCAAAGTTTGCTCAGTCAAAAAGTTGATGAAATGAGAATTATACCGTGTTACCAGGTAGTGCGGCAGGGCCTCGGCGATTCGAGGTTGTTTTTAAGTTTCTGGAACGAACGATTGGTGAACACCGAACTAAGTCGTAATGAAATTCCGCGTGATATGACCGATCGAGTATGTGTATGAGCACAAGAAGCTGTCGACTTGGAAGAAAACGTCGTCCTTTATTATTGCTTCTTCGATGCGCACCGATTCATCGGCAATTGCCGGCTACCACTTTAAGGCTTAGTCGACGAAGTTGTCGCTGTAGACGACCGGTCCCAGAGGCACCTGGGAGGGTGTTACGTTGTCGCGCCGCGCCTTCCTCCTCAGTTCTGGCGGCAGGTCTCTGTAGGCGGCGTCCGGCAGGGCCTCGTTGCATCGGTAGACCAGGTCCGACCAGATGATGGCCTCCTGCGAGAAGCAGAACACTCCGAGGCGTCCTCCCCTGAGCGCCGAGTCGTAAATATTTCCGGAGTCGGCGACCATCTGGTCGCTCTCGAATATTCTCAGCCGGATGAGGCCCAGTTCGGGGCGGTGCAGCAGAAGCCAGCGGTACGCCACCCTCTCTTTCCAGCCCACGTTGCGGGGGTCGCGCCACAGGAGGCGAACCTGGGTGGTTGAAAGGGGAGAGGGAAAATCCCCGACCCCCATAAATGGTGTTTCAAGCTTTATTATGGTCGTAAGAATAATAAAATAAGTGTTGCCCCTCTGTCTGATCTGGACATCCTAAAAAGACTTCATGATTCGTGTTCATTGTCTTGGGGTTCATGAGCGTACACTTGAATCCAAGCACACTGAGTTCTTGCATTTTGCCTTGGCCGTATCGAAAGCCGTGTCCTAGATCTCATCAGGGTAACACGTGTGCCGCCAGGCGACAAGAAGGCATGAAAAATTTAGAAGTTTGATAATTCAGGTACCGGCTGGTGTCGCTTCTTCTCACTAGGAGATAGCGCTCATGTCTGGAAGGTCAAAGTGCAAACACCCACTTTTATTGTTGCAAAGGAGTGCCGTAAATCGATAAGTTGTACCTGTCCCGGCGTGTGTCCGGTGTGCCACAGCGCGTTCCTCAGCGTCTCCCCGGGTCCGGTGTCCGAGTGGATGAGCTTGAGCTGTATGCCCGGCTCGGCCACTGCTCGGAAGGGCGTGGCCTGCCAGTAAGTCTGGCTGCTCTTCTTCCACATTACGGCGTAGAAGTGGCCGTTGTCCTGGTAACCGAACACGAAGCCCACGTAGTCAGTCGTCTACCTCGGTGTCGACGAAGAACGTGCCTACGGGAGGAAAGACATTTGAGTCTCGCCTTTTAGAAGCGTAAGCGTTTCAACCGCGGAGCTGTTTCAAAGCTGCAGGTTTGTCTCTGAGGGGTTAGCAGAAAAATTGTTCGTGGGTATGCGTAATACTATGCGGGCATGTGCCAAGCAGCTACCAGCACAGCATAGCCGCGCAAGGGGGTTACGTGAGGTATGTGAGTGGGAGGAAGTATGAAAGAAGGAAAGAGGGCGATGTAGAAAGAAATAAAGAAATAAGAGATTGAAGAAAGAGATAAAGAACGAAAGAGTGAAGAAAGAAGAAGACAAAGATAGGTGAAGTAAGAGTTGCATCTGCGTTCTCCAAGTGGAAGCGCTTGGTTGCGAGCTGTGATATTTTAGTGCAACAGCCCTTAATCTTGTGTTGACGTAAAGGCAAACCTGTGTGTGTCCCTCCACCCCTCATCCGTCACCTGATACAAATCGCTGTAAAAAATGCAAATGTATTAAGTAATCTCACTCTGTTTTTTTTTCCCTTCTTGACAATGACGAGTTTCAGGTCCGCTCTCAGATTACGCTCTCAGATTACGAATTCCCTACTTACTGGGCTATACAACTACGCTTTCTATATATTTTTATCTATTTATTTATTTCTTTATGTTAACTTATTGCACCCTTCAAAGTATATCGCAGGAGGGAAGCAGCAAATACGTAAATGGCCATATACCAGATCCACTGAACAAAAGTATCAGCAGTTAGTAACGTACAAAACGAATTCAGCGAGTAATTAAAATATTGGCAAATTAAAGCAGGCCATACTTCTATAGCGTGGACGAAAAAAGAAAATAAATCTTTATGCGCACCATGAGGGAATGGAGGCCTATAGCTTTCAGGATGGTTGTGGACTCTGGTTTAGCGGGTGTGACGTGGTTGCTATCGTTGTGTGTGAATGAGAGTGTGAGGAAGCTTCGAAGTTTCAGCGTGATGACTACAGAAGAGCGACTATGCGTTGATGCGCTGGACTATTCCAATGAATGCGTTAAACCGGACAAGCACGCACGCACACACACGCGCACGCCGACCCACACGCACGCACACACAAGAATACAAAAGAACAGCTGTATTGATGTTTTTGATAAAGTACTTCGTTATGGTGGAGTTTTGCAAGTCCTCTCGAAGACACTCGAAGGTGAAGCAATATGTTGTACACACCGGCGAAATTCCGATTTTCCGGAAATGTATAGTGCCACTGATTTTTAGGCTTGTGTTAGACGTATGAATCTCTCAGGATAAATAAAATTATCCAGTTTACGTGTATCAGCAATCAGTCGAACGCAGAGAATCGATCTCGTCCGCAGCGTGCACACATCTGGCACTGCTCGCGCGTACGCCCGTGCACGTGCGGCAAGCTTCAGAATCCGCGGCAGCTGTGGCCTCGTCTAGCCACTCGAATGACGAGGGGTTTCTCAAGTGTGGGGGGCCCCTTTCAAAGCACGACGCGCGATTTCGGTGGCTGGAAATCGCCGAGCTCGTGAAGCGAACAGACCATGGCGTACACAGGCGCGAACACCTGTGTTTACGCAGAGATAGAGAGGATAGCAAACTAAACTGAGAAGCTAATCGATGAAACCTGTCGCAGTAGCCCTTAGTGGCGCCAAGCAGTCTCTCACTCTCTTGTCTCCTCCCCCCCCCGATCTCCTGCAGACTGCATCCCCAACTTAAGTTGGGGATGCCGTCGTTTCGTCGAGTGACGAAATGACTTGCGAAAGTATAATGTAAGTTTGAAATTTTTTCGAGCGCGTGTTTTTCTGTGAGACAACACAAAATGAATCCAAGAATAGCATTCCGCGGAGGAAGCACAGGGAACATTAATTGTCGTCTTTAACTGTTGTAGTAATCGTGACGGCCAGCAAACGGACCTAGAGTGAATGAAAAACACCCGTCACATTGGTGGAATTTGAATTCGCACCATTCTGAGGTGGTGGGTTTGGATAGCGACACTCCCGCATATCTGGGATGCTCCACAGAGGCTTCTGTGGTTACTAGACCTCCAGCTTAACCGGGACGTTCTGTGGCAGCTGAATTTGGAATATTTCATAGACGTCCCTCATTCTGCAACACTCGTGCTTAGCCGCGGCGCTGCGCTTAAGCTTCCGCGGTCACTAAACGCGCCGTTTAACTAGGACGCCAAGTGATAGCGAAATGCAGAATCCTTTAAACATCACTTGGTCTGTAATAGATGTTTGTACTCAACAAGGTCATTGTGAAACGAACTGCAACTCATATCTTGGCGTCCCCCCAGGCCATGCCACACCCTAGCGAGCTTTGACGATGGACTCACCTTCGAAGTCGACGCCGCCAAAGTGCTGGAACCCTACGGCCAGTCCCGGGTCCGAGTTCATGGTCTGCACTATCTCTGCGCCCTTGTTGTAGACGACCCAATGCGGGTCGATCTGCGAGTCGCCCTCCGGGTCGAGCACAACCGTCTGGTAGGCACGGAAGTCCGTCGCGTAGACGCGCCGGTTGTCGGGACACACGTCCAGGGCGTCTGGCACCGAGTCGCCGTCGAAGTCCTCGCGACAGGCGTCTCCGACCCCGGTCCGGTTGGTGTCCCGCTGGTCCGGGTTCGAGACCAGCGCGCAATTGTCCTGGTGGGTCGCGGGAGGAGTACGAGGCAGTCTGTTTTTATGTTGCCCGCTATACGTGAAACTTACACGCGTCTGTACCGCGAGCGTGGCGCATCAACGTGAAACGTGATTTGCACAGAGAATGACAAACGTGTTGGAAAGGTGTGCGAATGCGAAGTGTGTGCGCTTCGCATTTCAGCACAACGAATCTCTGTCTGTTCCGCTATTGACTTGGTTTCCTTCTTATGGTAATTCTGTCACACATGGTGTCAAAGCAACTAATTGTGTTGCTCTATAAGGACACGCGAACGTAATGTACGCGTGCTTGCACAGTATACGCTAAAAGACACACACACACTTCAATGAAAAGTGTGTGTTCGTGCTCCGGGTAAATGCGTAGGGGAAGTGCTCGACGCTTCAGCATTATGTTGATTTTCGCGCCTAATGTTTACTGTGACAATACTGTAACATTTGTCCTGCAAGAAAACAAGTACCAAATATTACGCCTTATTAATGACGCCAAGCATGTATGAAGTCACAAACAGACGCGGTTCGCTTCCTTTTCCGCTTGTGAAATAATTCCGTGTTGATATTTTCTGTGTTTTTTTTTTCGCTTGCGCGCTTCTGTATAACTTGCGCGCACACACGCCTATACACGCGCGCGAGCTGTGTGGTTCGCGTTGAAGGTGACTTATACCCCTGTCACACGGGCACTTAAAAGTCTTTTAAGTAAGCGGTCTTTTTCCGAAAAGGAGTTCCTGACAGCAGACACACGGCACAGAGCGAACTCATTTTCAGAAGCGGTCTTTTTCGTAAACGGCGTTCGTCGATCTCTTTTACGGCTCCGAATGAGTAGCCTCGAAACCAGTGGGCACCAGCAATTTTCGAGTGGTGGGAAAAAAAAGAGAGAATGCTAATTTTTCTGGCATCAAAACTTTTCGTAAAAACAAATTTCATATCCTGCAGAAGGTGTAATGAACTCTTTTAATGGTTATTTCCTTTTCTAGTCTCGCAAGCGGCTACAACGCGTCGGCAATATCACGTGGTGACGCTCGGTCTTGCGCTGTTTTATCCTCTCCTTGGCGGCTTTTGCAGCGTCTGCCTTGCTTTCCAGAGCGAGAAGGCAGGCCGTGAGGCTTGCGATCCTCGCTTTTTCTCCCGTACGGTCGCCCATAACGTGTCGAGAGCTGTCGAGAGCAGCGAAAAACAAATACATTAAATAAAAGCACAGTGGTGCCAGACGGACTTGTGCACGTCGCTAGTTATGGGAATGCTCCCTTATCTAGTGCAGAAAACATTCACAATGGTGTTTCTTCATCTCTTATTCTTAAACTTATTTGAAGAAACGAGCAGTGCAACAAGTCTTTAATTTGTACATCGTGATACATCGTTTAATTTTCATTGCTTCTCTTTTAACTGCTAGCGCCACGCTTTCGCTAGCGTCTTCGAACGAAAACACTAAAAGGAGATCGTTGCTGCCGTGTGTCTGCGCCGCAAACACCTCTTTGTTAAAAGTCTTTCAACTTCGTAAAAGACCGCTTACTTAAAAGACTTTTTGCGCGCCCGTGTGACACAGGTATTATTCATGCGGGTCTGTCCCGGCCTATCACGTACAGTCCCAAGCCCCGCGCTGTCCTTTGTCGGGACAGCTACCTGTCTCGCATTTGTCCCGGAGCGTCCAGTTGTAAATTTCTACATGATCCAACGCACTCTACGGAACATGCAAGTTTTCTCAAATCGTACTCGAAAAGTAGTGTTGTGGTGTCTAGTTGTGGATACAAGAGGCTATATATAGAGCCTCCTCTTCCGCTGAACTTTCGCGTGAAGTGCGACAACTTTAATACGAGTACGTTATCTGGCAAGAGCAAGTGCTGCGAACAACACGTAGCCATCTGAAGTACTTCAATAGGCTTTAACTATAAAGAAACAACGGATTTGTCTGGAAGATATCACAGTAATGGAAACTGATGTTGATGACTAGTTGCGTTAGTGTGCGGACCTCTCTTCTCCCCACTTCCTTTATTAAATTCGGTAACCCTAACTACAAGTGGAGTAACACACATACACCCCGCGTGTCTGTGTAGTTGGTTATTCCTTGTCCGTTTTACCGCCGGCTATGTCGTGGCAACGCGGTTCTTGTGTGTCGATCGAATAAAGGGACATTCATTGTGAAGAGGATGATGCGAGCACTGTGAAGAGACAACTGCAGCAATTGAATCGTAATTTTCGTCTACTCAAGCGTCTGGGCCGCCTTCAAAACGACAGTCACTTGCCTGACTGTCCGCCACACCGTCGTTGTCTTTGTCGAAGTCGCAGGCGTCCCCTTCTCCGTCCGAGTCGGTGTCCAGCTGGTCCGAGTTTGGGTCGTCGGGACAGTTGTCCCGGCTGTCCTGGACGCCGTCCCTGTCCCTGTCGATGTTGTCGTCGCAGGCGTCGCCTACCAGGTCTCGATCCGTGTCCACCTGCGGAGTTTGGTTAGCTTATAGGTGTGTCCCTGTCAAAACTGCAATGTCATGATAGGGGTAGACATGTGGAAGCACGCCGCGAGATTTCGCTCGTATATGAAAAGAGCGCCAGTAAATAGAAAAGAGCGCCAGTGAAAAGAGTGTAAGTAAATTTACCGTACCGGGGATATCTCTTGGATAACCCTTACGTTCGCACACGCTCCCACTCAAGAAACACGTTAACACACGCAGCACTCAATACCAACTGTTCTTTTGTGTGTGACCGACCATCTTACACACGTACATGATGTCGTGCAAAAGCTATATGATCATCAATGGTGCGCCTGTGTGAAGATTTAACAAGCGATGCAAGAACCGGCCACGATACAATGCGGATGTGTTATCAGCTAACCCAACAACAAGTTTCAGTAAGCCTCAGACTCTGTTTATGACAAAAAGTTGGTGCCGCTTGGGCAGGTGGATTTGCCATTGTTGGAAGGTACCTTGTAGCCGTATTATCGCGTTAACTTTCAATGCTTAGCGTATGAAAAAAATCGCACACAGTGGCAGCGAGCCGCAGCTGACGTTTCGACAAGCGGACTTGTCTTCTTCAAGGCTGCATTCGAATTCTTTCGCCCTTGCGGGTGCATGTCGAAATGTTGTCTCCAGCACACCCCCAGTTCAGGAATTTTTTTTACCAGATTCTTTATTTACCTTTTCCTTTTGTTTTAATACTTAGCTTAGTCACAGCGTGCAGCGCCACCGCAATACAGTGGTTGGCATACGGTGACGCAACGTCGTATTGCTCTACTAAGCCTGATTTGACACGTGACGAATGACAAGACTATAATCGACAAATGTAAGTCCGCCAACTGAAATCTTTATCATCTTTCTTGAAAGATCATATGCCCGTTTACGCAAACCTTTAAACGGGTACTGACACCATTTTTCGGAGGCGCGTAAACTCTCCCATCCAAATCTCTTGTAAACGGAGATGGCTCTGAGGGAGTGTGGAGCTCAGCAAATGTTCATACGATATTGCATTTTGATATTAAAATCAATTTTTTTCCATCGCGCATATACCGACATCGGCACTAGCTTGACGTTAGGCTTTAATGCTCAATCTGGTGACTTCATACAGTAGTATGGTCGGTTGTTAGGATGTCAGTTGAAAAGCAACTTCTAATTGGCCGTTCGTGCGTCACTAAAACATTCAAAATTTGCCGCTTTTGCTTCATCAATGGGGTCACGGTGCGGATTGGGTGTGGATACGTCACGATAAGTTATGCGAGCGCGTGACGAGAAGTTCATACCGCGTTGTGACGTCAGGGTACAGTAGGAATATAAAGTAGCTTTTGAAAACATATTGTCATTACTTCTTCAGGGTGAGCTCACAGCGGTGCATTTTCAAAGCTCTCGAGTGCTTGACTTTTCATTTAACGCAAGAAAATGACAGCTAAACGAATTTTCGTCTCTGCACCCCATCACCCATCTGTCGGAGTTAACTCTTGATAGCTATTGGTGGCAAGCAATCGTTGCCTCTGAGTAGAACTGTACACGTGGTCTAACTGCTTATCCGAAGGCCCCGTCGCGGTGGTTTAGTGGCTAAGGTACTCGGCTGCAGACTTGCACGTCGCGGGATCCCATCCCGGCTGTGGCGGCTAGATTTTCGATGAAGGCTAAAATGCTGTAGGCCCGTGTGCTTTGACTTGGGTGCGCGGTAAATAACTCCTGCTGTTGGAAAACTTCCGGAGCCCTCCACTACGGCGGCTCTCGTAATCACATGGTGGTTTTGGGACGCTAAACTTCACGTATCTATCATGATTATCGGAGGCATGGTTAAAGGGGCTACAACACGGTCACCCAGCTATTCTTCGTTTACAGCAGAGACTGCAAGTAGAGGGTCTATTACGCCTATGCAGATATGAAAATTGCGCTGTAGAAGAATATTTCAGTGCAAAAAAAAAAAAACTTATAGAAATCTGCCGACCGTAAACTCTGCCCACTGCTGGCGACCGCCATTTAGTCATGGCGCGTGTGACGTCATGAGCTGGAAGGAGCGGAGCCGTAGTCCTCAAAGGAAGTTGCAGCCGCTGCAAATCGTTCAGTTTCAGTGGCAAGCTCTCTCGATTTCACGTGCAGCTCAACGCAGAACAATATCGTTTGCTGGAATGCAGCCGCTCGTACGGCTAGTCAGTCGCTTGTTACGTCACTTCTCGCGAGTGCACCAGTGTTAGCCCGACTCTCAGGCAGCCCGCGTGTTCATAAAAATGTACAATTATAAATTAGTTGCTCGACCGAATGCGCTAAAAATTTAGCCCGCTTGTTTGTGAACACACTAGGATTAACCCACGTAGCACAGATTATATGATCGAAAATTCGGTGTCTTGGCCCAATAAATGTTTTCTGCGCTCTATTGGTGATCGCATGCGATCTCGCGCCTTCTCATCACCTGGTCGTAATTGGACATTCTGGGACAGTTGTCGCAGGCGTCTCCGAGGCCGTCTCCGTCCGTGTCGGCCTGGTCCCTGTTGCGCACCGTGGGACAGTTGTCCCTCTCGTTGGGCACACCGTCGTTGTCGGCGTCTTCGTCGCAGCTGTCGCCGCGCCCGTCGCTGTCCGAGTCCGTCTGGTCTGGGTTCGACACCAGGGGGCAGTTGTCGCACGCGTCACCCTGTGCATAGCAGAATAAAAGCCTTGTGAAGTTCACTTAGACAGATCTATCTATCTATCTATCTATCTATCTATCTATCTATCTATCTATCTATCTATCTATCTATCTATCTATCTATCTATCTATCTATCTATCTATCTATCTATCTAATGTATGTATGTATGTATGTATGTATGTATGTATGTATGTATGTATGTATGTATGTATGTATGTATGTATGTATGTATGTATGTATGTATGTATGTATGTCTTAGCATATTTAAATCTTGTGTCACCAGTTCTAAGGCACCGCCGCTGGTCTAGTGGCTAAGGTACTCGGCTGCTAACACGCAGGTCGCGGGATCGAATCTCGGCTGCGGCGGCTGCATTCCGATGGAGGCGGAAATGTTGTAGGCCCGTGTGCTCACATTCGGGTGCCACGTTAAAGAACCCCAGGTGGTCGAAATTTCCGAAGCCCTCCACTACGGCGTCTCTCATAATCATATGGTGGTTTTGGGACGTTAAACCCCACATATCAATCATCAACCAGGCCTAAGACGCAACACACGGGTTCCGCTACATGTTAGCGTCCTATCTTTGCTGCGATGCCACGGCATGTAATCCGTAATTCCGACGTTTCCTTATAAACACCTATTCAACAATCCTAAATGCATTTGTTGGGGTTGTTATGGTTCTGGTCGGCACTTTCGAAAGTATTGCTTGTGCGCGAACGCGCAAACTTCATCTCATTAGGATTTCCGTTGTCTTGTAAGATGGAAAAGGCAGAAAATATGCGCACAACTACTCTCTTATTTACAATCTCGGGATTATCATAGTCGTCGGTAACTCGTTCTGCAAACTCTGCGGTGTTCTCGTATGTGCACTGTATGCCTTCGTCTGTTTTGATTTTTCTTTGCTTTTAGGGGCGAAGCCCTTAAAATCGTGGGTCGGTTCATGTATGTCTGTGACCGGTTCGTATCCACCTTGTTGTATGACTCACTCAGCAGGTGACGCTAGTGTGAATGACAGACAAGAGGACGGACGGACGGATGGACAGACAGACAGACAGACAGACAGACAGACAGACAGACAGACAGACAGACAGACAGACAGACAGACAGACAGACAGACAGATAGGCTGATAGACAGATGGATGGATGGACAGACACACACATGAACGGACAACCAGATGGCCGACGGACGAACGGACAGAAGCACGGAAGTACGGATGGGCGCTTCGCTCCACTCATCGTGATTCACTCCGTGGATATGCCGTGATTGTTTTCGTTTAATTTATCTGTCCGACGTAAATATTGCACGCTTTGCAGCTTGTCTTTCTATACCTAGCTTTGGACAACGTCTGAGTACATTTTGGTATGACTTTTCTTGAGCCATGCAGACGCTGATAGCTCACTCACTCGCTCACTCGCTCATTTGCTTACTGACTCAATCAATCAGTTAATCAAGTAAGCTGTAACGAAGATTAAGGACTTCAATGGGTCGTCAGGTCCAGGGAATTCTAGTGGGTCCTTGTGGGTCGTTCTGTTCCGTCATATAAATGTCTTAACAAATAAGTTTTTCAATCAATAATCAATCAATAAAAAAATAGCGATGTTGAAAGCTGGTGGGAAAAGATTATTTTCCGGTCGTTCAAGCGGCGTCGTCATCGTTTTCCAGTCCGACTGACTTCAGGGCTGATGGCGCGGTCACCCTCATGTTTCCTCACTTACTGGAAGTGCGCCAGGGTCGACCGTTCTTTTTTTTTTTCCCCTGCTCTCTCTCTCTCACGCGAGAATCTCGTTTCCTCGTCGAGGAGTCGTGTGAGCGTGCCCCTACATATAATTGAGTTGGCAGCAGCGGTGGCGATCTCAGCGCCGTCCTCTCCACTCGGCCGAATCTTCGTGACGCACACCATCGATCCTTCTGTACGCCCCACGGGGCGGCCTAACGTGCGGCCAGCCGCGATGGTAATGCTAATTAGGCAGGTTGGTAATCCTTCGCGGGAAAGTTAACAGCGATAACGGCACTGGACGGTGAAGTATAGATAAGAAAATCGAGCACGTTTTTTCTTCTTTCACTGTTGTTATGTGGGGTTTAACGTCCCAAAACCACTGATGATTATGAGAGACGCCGTAGTGGAGGGCTCCGGAAATTTCGACCACCTGGGGTTCTTTAACGTGCACCCAAATCTGAGTACACGGGCCTACAACATATGTTTTCCGCCTCCATCGGAAATGCAGCCGCCGCAGCCGGGATTCGAATCCGCGACCTGCGGGTCAGCAGCCGAGTACCTTAGCCACTAGACCACCGCGGCGGGGCCTTCTTTCACTGTTCTTTTGTCGCTAGTGCCGCTCACTATAGCCAAATAAAGAAAACCGCTGTACATGGCTTACATGAAAGCCTTTCCATGTGTTTTTCCGCCGGCTAAAAAAATCAGCAGGAGATGGGATGTAAGGGCAGTGCTTACACTACAGGGCAAAGTATGTGTTTGGGCGAGTTCGTTCGTCTTCAACGAATCGTGACGGCATTGGGAGCCTCACGAAAATAATCCTTCGGGCCAGTCATGCCTCTGCAACTCATGAACATGATGATCACAGTTTAAAAAAATGAAATATGGGAAGAAGACACTCATACGTGAGTCGGGCTGATAGCGAAAGGTTGGAGAGCGGCTTGTTTAATTCTCCTGATGTATAACATGTCACTGCGGTACGTACAGTCCTGGTCATAAGTTCGCATGCCACACTTCCATAGAAATACATGAGATGGTGGCCTGAGGACTTATGACCGCACCTGTACATTAGTGCTTCAACGTGCACTTTACACTGAAATCCTATATATACCGCATATGAAAGTGTGGCTGGCTGTGTATTGTAAAAGAAGCTCACGCGCGCGTTGAAAGAAAGTGCTCCGGACGCTTCGCGCGCTACGATTGCACCCGCGGGAGTGCTCTTCCGAGCGGTGTGTCGCGCGGGGCTCGCACGTCGTCCTCTTCCTGGTTCGGGCGTGGGACCGATCGATATTCGACGCCGTTGGTGCAAACACCGAGGCGCCGTTTTCTCTCTCTCCCACTGTTTACTTCCTTGGCTGTACAGCCGGTTGAACCAATCACTCGCCGCGGTTCTACTGGCGTCGTAATATTTGTTTTCTTCGATTTATAGTAACGCGCAGTCTTATAACACATCGATAGGGGAAGAGCGCGAAAGACGAGTGTGCAAGGGATGCAAAAACAATGGGAGCGCTTTGTGTTATCTCGTCTTCTCTGTGCGTGCACGTAAAACAATGAGGGATCGTTCTGTGTTACTTTGCCAATAGGCCGACAAGATAAAACTGAAGAAAGAAAAAAAAAAGAACACTGAACAAGCAAAAATACATCAACAATAAAATAATTTGGGGCTCCCGCACGGGAATCTTTTTCACGATGACAGCAAATGGCGTATCATGTTTTTATTAGGGCACGTAAGAGTAAACATATGTTTCTCATATTAGTACACTTATATCCCACAATTTAAAAGTCACCTCGTTTCCCGCTATGACCCTGGTAAGTGCAATAAATGCGCAGAAAGAGGAGGAGGAAGAAAGTTTAAGCGGAAAGACAGGGAGGTTAGCCAGTTCTTAGACCGGCTGGCTACCCTGTGCTGGGGAAAAGGGTGAGGGGAATGAAAGATGTTAAAAATAAATAAATTTGGATGATGCCGCTGCCTCCTGCCTCGAAATTCGCGCATGAAACGTTGACGTAATGGATTTCTACCGCACTAGTAAGCTCCCACGATAAAGTTCTTATAATCGGTGAAAAGCAAGTACGTTGTCGTCTGGGGGCGCCATAGACTTAACATTCCGTGTTTCTGGAAATTTCTTTGAGCGAATGCTGCCAAAATACGAAAAATTGGCATTGAAATTCGTACCGTGACGCGCGGATATATCGGTGTGAAATCTTGTAATGAAACCAGACCTTGATTTTTCCTTTCTTATGAAGCATATGACGATGACATTAACGACTCTAGACTTGTCAAAGTGCGATTTATCAATCTAGATCGATGCAATGTCTCACTCCAGTGTTATTTTTTTTCACATCAGTGTCCTTTTTAAGCGTACCTTAGTATGCTTAAAAAGGACGGACTGATGGTCGAGCTTTAAGTCATCTTGGTATGCTTGCGCGGAAATGAACGGCATCTTCTGGGTCCTTCCTTTTACATTATCGTTCTTTGCCGAATCACCGTTCCGAAATTTCAGGTACGTAGTGTCATGTGTTGCAGGAATTGATCATTCCCATTAGGCTGATGAAAGGGGACAGCTGAAATTCTGCCTAGTCTCGCCTTGTAGTCGGGTCCGTCCGGGTCGGTATCCTCCTGCCCCGGGTTCGCTGACAGAGGGCAGTTGTCCGGATTGTTCGGCACGCCGTCGTTGTCGGCGTCCGAGTCGCAGGCGTCGCCCTGGCCGTCCGCGTCGGCGTCTTCCTGGCCCGAGTTCGGGGTGCCCGGACAGTTGTCCGGCCGGCACCTCGCTTGTCGGCACGGCAAGCGCCACCTGCAAAACACCGTTGTGCGACTGCATTAGTGTGCAGTCTTAATACATTTGCATCTGTACAGTGAGGTGTTTGTGTATTAATGTCATCTGCACAACTAGATGACTCGTATAACGAAGATCTGCCGTTCCCTCTGCCGTGGCCAAACGTTCAATGGTCTTTTTGCACTACGGCCTGCAAAGACTGCCGTGGCCAAACGTTCAAGGTCTTTTTGCACTACGGCCTGAAAGACTGCCGTGGCCAAACGTTCGAGGTCTTTTTGCACTACGGCCTCTCAAAGACTGCCGTGGCCAAACGTTCAAGGTCTTCTTGCACTACGGCCTGAAAGACTGCCGTGGCCAAACGTTCAAGGTCTTTTTGCACTACGGCCTGAAAGACTCCTGTGACACCAGCAGGCATCCTGTTGAGTAAGCTCGTAGCGCTCACCTCGGGCCATCCGTCGAGGTCGCGGTCAGGGGCCGCAGTGGCGTCCGTTTCCGGCCCACCCGACGCGACAGCGGCAGCCGTACTCCCGATCCTCTTCCTGCGGGTGTCGATGCCCCGCGCGTGGCGGCACGCAGTCGGCGTTCGCGTCGCACAGCGTCCCGTCCGGACAGGTACCCGGTCGCGGATGGCAGCCGGACGTCTGGTTGCCCTGGAATCCCGGCAGGCACTCTCCGCAAACCCTGCGCCCGGGAAAGTTTTCAGTGCATACCAGCACTTTTACAATGGGTGTGTCCGTACAGGTACTCATTTTGTACTGCAGTTGTTACCTGCAGGCATGCTGACGGCAAGACCGTTGTTGCTGCACTCTAGACGGTGACGTAGCCGTAGTTGCGTTGTGGCACCTTCAGGAAATATTATTCCACTCCACAGAGTCGTTTTCCATGTACAAGAAAGCCAATTCAAGATTCAGCGGCAGAAAGCACCCTTGCTGCTATTCTCGATTTGTTACCGCATTACTGTGATGGTGCACAACCTGCACAACCGTGTTTTTATACCGCATGGCGAGCTAAAGCAGTGAATATGAATAAGAGGAGATTTACACCTATAAAGGCAGAGAAAGCGACAGACAATTGTGAGGTAACGGAAAAACTTGAGCGATCAAAATGTAGTAAGACATGGTCACATTCGTAGAGCTGTTTTAGTCAGTCACTGCAGTGACTTCCGGCTGTGCCACTCCGGTCTTTTATCTTTTTCTCAGTACCTGCTTCAAGCTTCTCAGTTTAAGTTCTAAGGAAAACAGGAAATGTATTCAAGAAATTAAAACAGGAAACGCACGTGACAACCTAGAATATACTTACAAAAGAATTCGATATTTTCGTAATTCAACCTCAATCAATTGATGCCGTCATAGCTCTATATAGTTGTTCAGAATGAATAAACACGACCTAAATGTCGAAACACTACAGTGTACACCCACCAGAACAATTTTAAGGTAACCGAATTTTTTTTTCTTGAATGCTTAACTTTGCCTTTTTCCTTGGAACACATATCCTTGAATCAAACGTTCCGGCATGTTGTAGTTTCGCGGCCGATACAGTTTCCCGCCAGAGCAGAAGGCTCACGGCACTACACTCTGCGACAGCTTATCTTCACATTAGAGCGACGGCTACGTAGGCAGCGCATCCGCGCGTCACCGGGCAAGTAGCACCTTGTGGCCGATTTCGGTTTTGCTCATTCTGATTGTTAATTTGTTGTTGCGGCTGCATTTCCGATGGAGGCGGAAATGTTGTAGGCCCGTGTGCTCAGATTTGAGTGCACGCTAAAGAACCCCAGGTGGTCGAAATATCCGGAGCCCTCCACTTCGGCGTCTCTCATAATCATACGTTGGTTTTGGGACGTTAAAACGTACAAATTAATCAATCAGTCAATTGTTAATTTGTTTGGGAAAGTGTACACGAAAATTTCAATGGGTGGTGGACACCTCGATGGTTCAGCGTATACATTGTGTCCTATAACGAGTAAATTTTTCTTAGAGAATTAAACAGCGTTTTTGCGGCAGCAAACTGGGCCATTAAGTGGTTTACTTTAGAGAACGGGTGTGCCGAAGAGGTGGTTGCTGGGCAAAGGAAAGAAACGAAGGCTTTCTTGGTTAGTGAAAAACTGTATTTTGCCTACGACATTTAACAGCTACGACATTCAACAGCACAAGTGAGCAGCTACTCACTTGTGCAGGTTTAGGGAGCTGCTGGACTTTCGTCGTTAATAAAGCAGCATTTATTTCAGCAAGTCAAAACAAGAAGTTATCGGTAAACCTAAGTATTATTTGTTCTTGCCGCGATAGCAGTCATGCGCTTCGTTTCTATATCTTCACAAAAATAGGTGCCGCCAGATGCACGTATACGCACTTCTTGTGAAGCCAACGCCCCGTAAACTCTTCTCGCCGGGTGTAAAACAACAACCAGAGTGTTAGCTTAAGCACACGAGTCTGAAGCAAATAAAAGCATAAATTAATATATATCCAGCTACAGGGGACGCGTTACGGTCACTTAATAGATTCGAGTTGGGCGGCAGCCACTCACGACAGGTAAAGCCGCAATTCTCGGCCGGGTGCATGCGCAGTTCGCACCCGGTAATCCAGCATACGCAAAGTAATTTGCGCGTAGCGTAATAGCGGGCTCAGTCCTGTAACGCCCCCAGTGTTACCTCGATCCCTGCGTGTTGATGCAGCGCGAGTTCGGCACGCATCCTCCGTTTCGTCCGTCGGCGCACTCGTCCACGTCTCGGCACTGCTGCGGGGAGCCCCGAGCGAAGGCAAGGCCGACGCCCCGGTGGTCGCCGTCGCCCTCGAAGCCCCTAGGGCACGGACCGCACCGGAAGCCCGGGTACTCGTTCACGCACGCCACGCCTGGAAGCAAGGTTCAGCCGCGTCGCACTCGTCCAGGTCCTCGCAGTGGGTGCCGTTGCCCTGTGGGCGCGTGCAAATTTCGGGTGATCAAAAAGGGAGAAGTGGTACTCGAGTCTTCCCTCCCTGTTTCTCTTCGTCAGGCCTACGGGAAGGCTACAATGCTCAAAACCACCGTGAAACAACCGTAGAAGGTCCGAAACACTATAAACTACAGAAATCATAAATAATTATTTTTCAATCATTTAGATAACACGTGAAAAGTGCTTCTGAAGCACCCGGCTTGAACCCGCGCGGAACAATAGAGGGTGCTACCGCCTCAGCAAGAGCGCAGTTGCCGACACGATGGAAAGCGCGAGTTTCCCAAGGCAATCCCTAGGTGGCCCGTGCTACTCACTTGTGCAGGTTTAGGGAGCTGCATTAGGTGCACAATGCTGAGCTAAACAAAGACATACACAGGTACTACATTAGCGTTACACTGTTCACTGATTTAGCGGTTGATTAGAGCAGAATTAGCGCTATACTAATTGCTGGATTCGGAGTTGTTTTGTTGTTACAACTTGGGGCGTTTCATCTGCACCGCGCATATAAAATGGCGGGGTGAAGTTTTTTATTTTTATTTTTAAATGCGCTGCGCAGCTGAACCACCCCTTTTCAGTGAAAAAAGAATGTCGCCCTTCTTCTCAGTATAAACGAACTAGCTTACAAAAAACCACTTGATCGGCCCATAAAGACGTCGGGACCACGTACGTGGAATCCCTCGGGACACGGTCCGCAGTGGTAGCCCTCCTCCGGGAGCGTTCCGGCACGTGACCCCCGGGAAGCAGGGCTTCTCGTGCGCGCACCTGTCGTTCGGCTGGCAGCGGATGCCGTCGCCCGTGTAGCCCGACGGACACGGCCCGCACCGGTAGTCACCGTGCGACGTGTCCACGCACCGCACCCCCGGGAAGCAGGGCCGACTCGCGCAGGTCGCGGGCGCCGCGCCCACGTTGACGATTAGGTCATGGTCGGCCGATTGCCGCTGGCACAGGTGGCAGCGGGACAACGTCTCGGTCAGCATCAGCAAGGCTCGTGTCTGGACCTTCGATGGCTTTCTTGGACTCCTGCGAGATGGGTTGGGTTTTGGTATAGAAAGGGAAAGAGAGAGTAGTCCCTTATAGGTAGATAGATCACTGACAAAGTTATGTACATTCAGGCGCATCAATATTAATACGATATTTCTTATGCTTGATGTGCCTGGAGTTCTGCTAACAGTGCAGAAATGCAGCGGCCGGGCCAGGAATCGAATTCATGACCCTTAGATCAACAGCGCAACATCTCGCTTGTTTGTCTACCATAATGCGGGATCAAAGCTCAACCAGGAATTATGAAATTTCGAGCTTACGCCTAGCATGTCGATGAAATCGACGAGGGCCCTGGTCGCCAGCCGACCTATGTCTCCGCGAAAGTGGGTGTCATTCAGGCACTTCGCCTACCAACGTGGTCGCTTCCTTCTGACGTCATCGACATTCGGCTGCTGGTACTTCCGCCGCCGCTGCTGCTTCTGCCGGAAACAGTGACCGAAGGCGTGGTCAGGGCCTCCCGTCTTTTGCAGGACGGGGACGCCCTGCGGAGCACGTTGTGCATCGTTACGTTATGCAGAGTGTTCACCTTTATCCTCTTGTCCCGATAGACTCTGAGACCTGTGGACTGGCGAGCCATCTCTCGCAGGGGCAGTGAGAGTGACAGCCGTTCTTGAACCTGGCAGTCTAGGAAGACGTGGACGTCTGTGTTGGTCATCAAGCCGCGCGTTCCTTCGGCCGTCGAGAACAGAGGATGACCTCGCGCGGCACGCCGGTGACGTCCACTGCCGACGAAGTCGGCCACGACGTGTTGTTGACGACGCCGCCTCTGTCGGCCGACCTCGGTGGACCTTAGCCGCAGTCTCTGCTGGGCGCCCTCTAGCGCCAGTCGCAAACCGTGCGTGGTGTCTCCTGTGAACTGCAGCTCCAGTAATGCCTGTTCCTGGCTAAACCTGGGCCGGAGCGGGGTGTCTCGGAGCGTTACGGCGAGTCCAGACGAGGACGCCGTTGTGGAGGACAGAGTCTCCCACATGGTTGACGAAAGGTCGAGGTCGTGCGTGAGGTACGATCTGGCCTCGGCAGGACCGCCCGCTTCCCGATCGTTTCCGTCCGTGCTTGCAAACAATGACGACAACACCAAGAGGGCCGCTAGGCTTGCCGTTCGTATAGTCGGCCTCAGTGCGTCGTCGTGATCTGTTGTCATGACCAAATGAACTGTCCTTGGATGACCGGGATCGTCAGTACGACTTAAAGGCACCGCAAGTCACCGCGATGGTCCTATGGTCCTTCAACTGCTGGCGTCGGTAGGAAGTGGTCTTTCACTTTGGTCTTAGTGTAGCTGATGCAGGCATTGGAGGTCCAGATCTGTAGTGTTGGAATTTCGCGGAACAAGAGGCCGTCTTTCAGCACTAATGCGATGAAACTTGCGTCGATGTGGAGTCAAGCCTTGCGTACGCAACCAGGTTCAGTGCCACGGGCACGGTTCTTCCAGTCGGGGTTATCCAAGGGCGGTTTCGTTCCTGTGGTGCGGTAGCGATGTCGGCACTACGGAGTCGCCTGAACGACTGGGAACTCATCTCCGGGCTCTCCTTTTGGTTCGAGTCTTTTTTTTTTTTTCGTAATTCTTACTCCTCTTCGTCGCCGCAATGTGGAGGCCATCGCGTAGCGAGGGAGAGTGGCTGCTCTTGAAGGAAGGGACCTTCTGGCTCTGATTGGCTGTGATGACGCTGGCGTCGACGTTTTAGAAGAGAGGCGACGGTCGACGGCCACATCTGGAGTTGCTCCTGTTGCCGATGAACGAGGCGAAGAACCCTCGGTGGGCTCTTTTTCTGCACTGTTAGCGATGTTCGGGGTTTGTGTGTCGCAAGCGCGCTGGCTCGTGCTTTCACTCCTAGTTGTGGCCTTGCCCTCGTCTCTCTATTTTTTTTTCGTGCCTTATCCTCCGAGAGGGTGACAGGGGAGGCTATACATCGTTTTCTGTGAATACGGCAGCGATATGCGCGAGGTCTTGGCGACGTCTGTTTATTCATGGCTCATGCTTTCGCTGCCGGTGTTATCGAGTTATGTGCAAGTTAAACTAGCACTTCGCGGTCGGAATGAATGTGCGGGCGTTATGTCATGGAGTCCGCAATACAGCGCACTCAGACACGAAACGCTGCAAGCTGTGTGGAAGACCTCTGTTGGTGGAGACTGAGAGTACTTAGCCTTTGTCATTTTGCAACTGAAATGGGCCCGCATATAAGGGACGGGGCATAGATGACTGCAAATTTGTTGTCCTAAAGACCTTTAGTGAGCGTTCTGTCTCGTAGGAGCTTCTTCGTGAGTTCTGGCCCAGTTTCATTTGAATTTACTTGAAAAATTTGAGCATATAAGCACAAGAACAAAAATTAGTAAAGTGTACACTAGCGACAAATATTTAATTATGCTACTACACAAACTCATCAAACTACCTGTATTGTCTGTCTCTGCCCACTAGCTTTGTAAAGGCTACGTTTGGCCCAACGATAAGCAGAGAGGGATAGGGGTTTTAAATGTTAAAAAAAAGAAAAAAAAAAACGATGAGTGCCTGCTAGAGGGAATATCCCTTGAAGAGCGGCATGGCTTCGTCTTCGTCGATCAGGGTTACCTTGACATGTTCTTGACCTCCGTGTTATCACCCTTTGAAGCCCCGTACCACAGCCCCTTCTACAAACTGACGGGGCCTTCCACAGTCAAGGCCTGGAAGGAAAGTCTCGTCTCCGTCTTCTATCTATCTATCTATCTATCTATCTATCTATCTATCTATCTATCTATCTATCTATCTATCTATCTATCTATCTATCTATCTATCTATCTATCTATCTATCTATCTCTGCGTGTGTGTGCGTGCGTGCGCGTGCGTGTGTGCGCATTTACACGTGTATATACGTAAAAGACAATTATGATGGAGATGTTTTGCAGACTCCAGGTACGTTCTTTCCTTTTTAGGTAATTTAGTAATTGAAAGGCCCAAAAATTCATATAAGCAATTCTTGACCAATCTCCCTTAGTGGGTATGAGCCATGGTTGAGGCATAATCATCCTCTGCGCAGCTGATAACGAACACGCTGTTTTGCTGTCACAAGCTGCTTGCTTCTTCTGCTCGCGCTTCACCGTGACAAAATGCAGCCAAGGACAGACGCTACTGTCTGCAGCCCTTCGGAAAGCGTGTCTTGGCGTCTTCGAGAGAAAAAGAGAGGCAATATAGCCCTGCAACGCCGTTTCGCCAACTTCGGGTAAGCGTCGCTTCGTTGAGCTCGTTTGTGGATGGCCATTTCAAATCATATTTCAACATTTTGCATCACTGATGGAATCGAGCCAATTGACCGCCCTGTTATAGTTCGTCTGTGTCGCACCTACCTCGACCATGCCGCAGATATACCATAACCATAACTGAACTCGGGAAGAATTGAGAGACAAAATCCGTTATGCTCGTGTCTTTGTGCGTCCATGGACGCAGCCTTTATTTCTCGGATGTGACTGGGAACAGTTCAAAATGCCACTTTCCCCAAATCTATGGCCTTACCATCTAGAAGTGCGTCACTTATTATTTTCTTTATCGTTACGCTGACTTGATCTGTGGTCAATTTATCAGTAGTCAATTGTCTTGGCAAGGGTTCGAGGGTGAGCATTTTGTTTCGTGGAATGAGTGAACGTGAGGAAAGTTGAGGAATGGAAATATCACGCCGTGAGAAGAACGGTGTGTACAAGGAAACCGGCTGCGAACGCTTCAAGACTGAGAAAGAAAAGACGGAGCGGGAGCTAGTCTTTCCTGCACTCATAACGCATTATCTAATGAGTAGAGTTCGCGTTCAAAAAATTATTCGTTGTTGGCCCTCGTTCCGAGCAGGTACTAATTGAATACAGACAAGTGGCTGGCTGCTGTCATTGCCGTGGCTAATCTATGTGCAGTCCAGAAGAACTACGACTCAGTGGTCCTTAATTCCGCAGATATTTCTGGGTCCTAATGTCCCCGAAAATATCTATAGGCAGTCAGGTTTGGCCCGACTGTGCCAACGTGGAAGCGGGCCATTGTGTGTTGAGTCGCGCACTTGCAGTATTTTCAATGAAGGTCTGCATCCATTCATGTTATAAGTGTGTATAGCGCTGTGGATTATGCTGGGGTGGGCTCGAAGATAGGCGCAAAAAGAAAATGTCAAGTCGTCATGACCAGTATCAAACATCGACTGGCGATACATCAGATACTGTACATTGGCAGATCTTGTTCTCGTAGACGGATAGCGATGAGCAGTGACATATTTAACTACGCTACACCTGTGGCGTATCAGTTCGAAGCATTCGAATCGAGACTTTCGTATTGTTATTCGCTGGTTTTATACTGTCCGTCGCATGTGCCGCTACGGTCCGTCGAATGCGAATCTGTTTTATCCGGTTCCCTTGCATGTGTAGGTGTCCTATGTGTTGTTTTGCTTTTTTTAGTTTTGATGTGAAAATATAGGAGAATAGCTTGCCCGAGAGCGTGCTATGTTATGGGCGTGCAAATATTAAATGAAAGAACCAGAACAACGAAAAAAAAAAAACATCTGCAACGCCTTTGATCGCACGTGTTTTCACAAGCGCACAAAATTACCGTGTAGGCGTAATTCAAAACGAAGGAGACGGTCACCAAGGTTAAAATCAAAACTATTCTCCCCCCCACCCCACAAAGCCTGCTTTCGTAAATATTTTAATCACGTTGGGATTGAATGCTTCCTGTACCACCGCTCGCACGGCCATATCGCTTCCGATTCTTCGTTTCGTAAAGTAATTTTCACTTATACAATATTTCTCTACAGGAAGCTGATAGCAGGAACCGCTATTCGAAAACATGCGCATCCTATTTCAAGTTCGCGTAACGAATCGTCTCTCAGCCGCAATGTCAAGACTGAAACCTCGTACGGGTGTGCGTTGCGACTTTAGAGGCCGAATCGATGTTGTGGATGTGTACCCTGATATAAAGAAAAAATATTCTCCAGTGCCGCGTTGGTTATGGCGGCACGGAACGGAACGGCAGAGTGGAAGAACGAGCGACTGGTTTCAGACAACGCGTATGCCCGCGTAACTAATTTTTCATTATAGAACTCTATTGAGTACGTATGCTGAGGGATGCAATAATACTGTGCTGTGTGTTACGTACGGCTGCACGCACATCCAATCTTGAAGTGCCTTTGCCAAGCACTCTCTCCTTTTTTGTTCCTTCTCACCCTCGCGTTTGCTCTCTCTCTCTCTCTTATACATAAACACATGACCGAGGGGAACTTAAACCATCTCGACGAGTAATCCACCCACGCGCGCACATACCCAGTACTGCGTCCCTCAACCACCAGGGGGTGCTGTCGACGCCCTCAGCGTCTGCGGCGCATTTCAGTGACGTAGCTTGAACGAAGGGCGTTCCTTTTATCACCCGGTCGTTATCGACGCCGTAAGAGTGATGGTGCTGCTGGGCCAGTGAGTGCTCTACCACGTACATCATCACAATCATCATCAGCACGACTACGCCCACTGCGAGGCGACTTCTATATTTCTGCAAACGCGTTTCACATTGAGCCTAGAAGCGCGTCACACGTGGCTCGAACGCCACAGCGCCGAGTGGAAAGCCGTGGGATGCTGTTGCTCTGAGCGTGCGCGCCACGTGTCCTTCTTCGTCTTCGCTCCCGGAGAGATGAGCTCGCGTCTCATCTTGCGGGCGTCATCTGCGAGGCTGCGGCGCGTGCGCGCACCAGAGGCCGCAGCCCGCGGCGGCGAAACCCGAAACGTCGTCGTCGTGTGGGGGCGCTGTGTACACGTGCGACGTTGTCTTCGCGCCTCCTCTCCCGCCAACCGATGAATAGCGACGTTGCTTCGCGTTGTTGCCTTCGTTCCCCTCAGCGTTGAACACAGCCCCCCCTTTTCCCTACCTGCTGAAGCAACCCCTCGCCCCTTTCCTATTTTAATCTATATCTTCGCATCTATAAACTATGCGGTGTTTAAGCCCTCACTTAAAGCGAAACTTTGCTCCAGCGGCGTGTCGTTGTGAAGAAGTAAGCGACGTTCTTGCAGGGTTGCGTCGTGTTTCGACCTCCCCGTTTAGTGGCGCCGCGGTGACACCGAACGCGTACCTCAGTCTCGCTTGCAAGCCGAGACTGCGGTGTAGAGTGAGCGGGTCGCCAAGCGCCGTCCCGGATGTGCGACGTCGTAATACCGAGTCGACGTTCGCACTTTCATTGTCGGAACGCGGGTTTTCACCCACTAGGCGACAGACTCCTGTTGGAGCGCTATGGCGAAGCAAGCCCTGGATGGGTTCCTTCACGACCACTGGAAGATAGCGACCTGTCCTGCATACCGCTTTATAGTACTGCGTGTACTTGGTGATCTCGCGTGCGATTTTTGCCCGAGTTTCTGTCGCAGACGCGTCGCCACTCGGAGTCGATTGTGGCAAGTCACTAAACTTTGTCTTTCCCTGGAATGTGTTTGATTATGTGCTTTCCTGAAGCCTCTTCTTGGTTCAGTACCTTCGCGCTAGAGTTTCGATATTGTCAACCCCGTTACCGGCGTCCTGTTCATCGTTCGTGGCTGCTACGCTCAGTCTGCGTGAGAGACTGTGTTAAATGTTTATAGAAGAAAGAGGAAAGCGAAGTGTGGGCACGAGAGGGGAGCCTCGTGCATGGAGTGCCGTAACGAACGTTTGCCTCGTCTCCTTTGTTTCGCTTCATTCTCCCGACGAAGACACTTTCATCCAACAGGCCGTTAGATTTTAAAGAAACGTCTCGACGAAACATCCGAGTTGCTGTGAATTTGTGACGTCTGTATTGGGTCTTCGACATTTATGAGGAAGTCCGTTCGTGGTGGTGTACCGTGTGAGTGGTTCGACTCCGATCGGCCCGACCTGCTCAACGACGGACATTTCGAGGGTCGTTCTCGTGGGAACCACGGATCATCATCCCGGACGTGGTTTTATCGGTGCGCAGGGCATCCGCCCGTGAGCGGTCGTAGACCTCGGCATCTAAGCCGGTAACCACGGAGTGCATTTCGTGTGCTCGTCTGGGACGTCGAAGACGACCTGGTGCTCTTTTTTGTGGTTTACTTGCGGCGTCTTTGAAGTCCCGTTGCTGACGGAACTCACGTTTATCAACGAAGGAGTTTGATTCTTATAGTCCTCCGCAATGTCCGTCTGTAGGGAAGTGTGAGTGTGTACGCTTTGTTGAGTGTAGTGGTTAACATTTGCCTGTAGGCTTTCGCGTTGTCTGATTTTAAGTGACAGAAAAAGGGCAGTGTTGGTCCACATGGGAACCGTGCAGGGAACGTTTTGGACGCGAGTGCACATTAACAGTCGCTGAGAGACGCGCTTACAACTTAGCTTTAGCTATTGGCAGCCGGTCGCCTTGCGACCACTATTTGCAACTGCTTCCTTTGTGACTACAGTGCTCTAGTGGGTCGCATGTCTCACATATGGCTAAAGGGCGATGAGCCCTTAGCTCTATGCCTGTGTTGTGTGCTACTTATCCGTATCTCATCCGGTTTGTATGCGCACTTATCAAGTATTTGCTGTGTGGGGCAGTTCATAGCTAGCGGTAAGTTTAACAGTGAATCTGCGTCACACTCGGCAAGGTTGTAGTACGCGAAACTTTTAAAGCTAATTAGCACCCGGAGGCCAAGGATAATTATGTTATTATAAGGATAACTATAACTCCTATTCTTTTGATGTAGTGCGTATGCTCCTTTGAACTTGCTTACTTATTGAAATAAGTTGTCGCAGAACATGGGGCCTCATATGCATATTTATTGGCACAACTAGCTGAAGCGTGCACCGCTTTTTAAATATCGCTTGCACCTTAGAAAGATTGATTGATATGTGGTGTTTAACGTCCCAAAACCACCATATGATTATGAGAGACGCCGTAGTGAAGGGCTCCGGAAATTTCGACCACCTGGGGTTTTTTAACGTGCACCCGAACTTGAGCACACGGGCCTTCAACATTTCCGCCTCCATCGGAAATGCAGCCACCGCAGCCGGGATTGGTTCCCGCGACCTGCGGGTCAGCTGCCGAGTACCTTAGCCACTAGACCACCGCGGCGGGGCGCACCTTACAAAGGGTAATATTTAAGTGATGCCATGTTTTCTAGCACTGTTTTTATATAGATGCATACATTTCCTCTTATGAGGCAGATCAGTAGCATGTGTCGCTTCAGCGTTGATTTAGTACTTGCACCGCCCTTACGGTGATAACATGTTTCTATAGGGGGCTCATTTGTGTTCATTTTGTTGAGAAGTGATTTCAGTTCGGAGCTTTTAGATCCCAGCACGGTGTAGGATCCCAGGCTTCTTCAATGCCACTTGGAGCCGTCAGTGTCATTTAAATCATGTTGCGCATCTGTTGTCCTTCATGCACATCCTTTTGACGGGACGTTAAACTTTTCGCTCACGACCGGCATAACTTACTTAAATCATGTTCCTTATCCGTTGCTATTATGAACGGCCTGTTCAGGTCACATTGAAAGCGGACACAGCTGTCGACTGGTACTTCAATATTTTTGGGTACTTGTTGTCGCTAATGGACATCCTGTTAAAGTGACAGGTGTCACAGCCATCAGATGTCACCTAAATGATGCAACGCATCTGTTGTCGCTTATGGAAGTCCTCTTTAGCGGACGTTGAAAGTGTCACTTACAGACGTCAAGTGCTACACAAATCATATTGCAAATCTGTTGTTACTTACGGACATTCTGTTTAGGCTAATTTGAAAAGCACGTACAATTTTTGTGAGGCCTAGCTTGTTTCATTTGCTTCTTCTACAATTTCGTCTTATACTGTTTTTTTTTTCAATTTATGCAGTGTCGCCACGAGCAGCGGAGAGTCATGCCGGTCATCGAGCGACTCTGCCTCGTCGGCCCCGTGCTCTCCAGAGAGCGTCATCAGCGACTCTGGTGGCGCCGAGGGTCTTCCCGACAGTGTCGCCAGTCTCGTCTCCGGGGAGCTGTCGGACGTCGTCGCGCCGCCCCTGGACTCCGGGTTCAACCTGTCCCGGCTTCTGCTGCCCCAGCACCACCGGCAAGGGGAGACCGCCGCCGAAGCCCGCAAGCGCGACCTCCGACTCGTCGACGAAGTAGTGGCCGCCGCCGCCGCCGCGGCTGCTACGACGTCGGAACCCCGTCCCGTCGCCTCGCCTGCTTCGCCGCGTCCACAGTCGTCTACGTCGGCCGCCTCTGTGTCTTTATCGTCTGCTTCGTGTCTTTCATCATCGTCGCCAGCTACAGCGACTGCCACGTCATCTGCCGCTGCGTGTTCATCCATTTCGATCTCGACGTCTTCTGCCGCGGAGCGTGTTTCAGTGAACGGCAGCCGCGTCTACTCCTGCGCCGTCAGTGGCGTCGTTGTTGCCGAGCGTGTCGGTGTCGTCTTCCAGTGGCTGCTCGGCGGTGACTACCGTCGCGTTGTGTGTGACATCGTCCGCAGTGACGTCTGCTGCTGTGTGCCGACAGACGTTGAGCAAGTGTGGTGGTGTGCCCCCGCCTACGTCATCTCCCTACGTCATCTCCCACGTCACCGTCTCATCCGGGATCTTGTGCCAAAAGCAGCCGACGCAAGAGGAGACTATCTGGAGACTCGAGGAAGCGGGATAGCCCGCCCGTATCGGTAAGCAACTGCGCGAGCTCGGAGGTATGTCGATTTGGCAAACTAGCCGCCTCAGCAGTGGGGAGTAAGGGAGGGAGTAGTGTAGGCATTTTGGCTTCCTTGTTAGTAGCCTCCATTGTCTTAGAGCGCGTTGCGTGCGACCGCAGAACACCCAGCTTAAGGGAGTGTGCGTCGACAGGACTGGTGAGAAGTACTGGACTTCACACAAAACCATGTACAACTGGTATGTTGTATGCCATCGTATACATACGCAGCTTCTGCGCATCATTTGTAGCGCACTTTTCCTTTGCATGTTAACATTCTTTTCGAAAACACGTTTCAAATCAGGGAGGCCAGTTGTCAAGTAGAACAGACGTTGTCAAGTAGTAAAATGGATTCGGATGAATATAATGCGACTAAGGCAAAGAAGGGACAGTGAGGAATGACCCAGCATTTCAAGATTGAATACAAAACACATGAACAGTCATGTGCTGTTTACAGACAAGCGTTTCAACCTCAACAAAATGTTATTTGTTCCTTAGTGTTCAAGTTTCACTTCTGGATGACTGTACAAGGATGTTGCTGTGATATCTCTTCCATATTCTAGTAACTCAACAGTTATGTGTGACGTAGAAACCTGCAGTCATACTTTCCCGTTGCCTATCAGCAGAAATGGCACGACACTAGGGATTTGTAATCTGGTAAAAGAAGTGTTCTGCATGAAAGGGACTTGTGGCCAAGAAGTAGGGGCATCTGGTCAATGCTCGATGTCTTTTATTCAGTCTCTAGGTACATTGAATATGTGAACATGATTGTGCGGCAACTTAGTGTACAGTTCGAGCAACGTTCCCTCTCCTCGCCTTGATTTTTTTTGTGTGTGTGTGAAATGCAATTTTTAACGTTTACCGGACAGTACATTCCCTCATCATTCGCGTTAACGCTATCGCGAGGAAGAGGACTCTCGTGGCTATAAAGGCAAGCCTCGAGGTATTCGGGCTTTCAAGCAGCAGGAGGCTTCGCGAGTGTAGATATGCCGGAGCTCGGCCATAGCCTCTTGTAAATTTGCATGAAATGCGCGGCGCGCTCATCCCATACTCGGCATGAGGCTAGATGGCTGACCTTTCACACGCTAAAAAAATTGTCATTTCGGACGTGAGAATATGTTCGGTAAGCCGCAGAAGGGAAATGGATATTAAGAAAACAGCAGGAAACAAACTTGGCAGGCGATGCCGTCTCAAAATGTCCGGACCAGACCGCCGTGACTTCGTTGATTTTGATGGCATCTGCCTGTACGTATTTGATCATTTATTGTGAGCAATGAACCACTTAGCACGGCGAAACTGTTGGGAACATTAACTCAGCCGACATGACCGAAATACAAGAGAAGCGACCTTGGTGATCCTTGATGTCACGCTGGCACTCTAGCGTGTTGTTTTGTCATGCGATATTCAAGCATGGAATTTTTTTAACGAACCTGCGATTGCGAAATTAGCAGTTATCCACGTAAAAAGTGTAAAGCGAAGAACGTCACAGGCGTGGAGGTGGCCGACGTAGTCGTGTCGAATGTCGCCACTTTTACTGGAATTCGAAACTGCGGCTTCCGGCGTCCAGCTCACCAGGCGCGTGCGCTAATTTGTGGCGCCTCGAACGCGAGAGGCGTGACGTGACGGCTGGGAATATGACGATGGTGATAAATGAGGGTAATGGTGGCGCCATGGTGTCTCATTTCAGCGTTTCTGATAAGGTTAACGGAGCTACTCCTAACAGGGATACCAGGTGTCAAGTCCTTACTGAAATGTCTTTGCAGTGCGAATTATAGTTGCTTTCTCTGCAGGATGAAGATGAGGCCGAGGATGAAGACATCTGCCGCCGGAGAGAGGCCGAAGTGGAATCGCTGCTACGGCACTGCATTGATCTCGTCGTGGACCGGTTGGACCCGCAACACTGTGCCAGCAGCACCGGCAGCAGTACCAGCTCTTTACGCGGGTACAGAAGGGACCGCCTATCATCCCCGGAACCGCACCACCACCACAACCACCACCGTCAACCAGAAACCAGCAGCCAACAGGCGGCGGCGTCGCCGCGGAGCAGGCATCACCAAGATTACCAGGACCATCATCGCTCCATTAGTCATCAGCAGAAACGACTCACGCACGACGTGCACAGCACCGAGGCCGAGGTCGTGTCCTCATGTAGAGAGCAGCGTAGCTGCCAAGTCCAGGAACATTGTCAAACGGGTCATACTCGCCATCACCATCAAAACTGCCAACGTCACCACTCGCAAGACCAAAACCAGCACCTAACAGCACCGTCACCCAGCCAACCGCCTTGTTCATCAGAGTGCAGTATCAGTAGTAGTAGTAGTAGCATCGTTCCAGGAGACGAAGACTCTCGGTGTCTACTAGAGTCCCAGACTACAGTAGGAGACAATGCGACGCCGGCGAACAAGCTGTCCACCGCAAAGGGTTCTATACTGGCGGTGACACCGACGGTGTCCTTGACGGCGACGACGTCATCCACGACAACGACGACAACTTCTAAATCGTCGACGTCGTCTTTACCGGGCGCCTTCACCTCCGCGCCTTCTCCGTGTTCCTCGTCGTCGCAGTCTTCGACGGGTACGGCGTCGGTAGCCGCCGAAGACGGTCTGTTCGCGTGTCGTTGGAAGGAGTGTGAGGTGCGACTTCGAAGCGAGGACGCCCTGGGAGACCACGTCCGTGGGGCTCATGTGGACACCCAGACCAGGGACCAAGGGGTCTACCTCTGTCGGTGGCAAGGATGCAAGGTGTGTGTGGTGTTCGCTTCTTTTCGCCAGCGCGAGGTGGTTAACAGACTGAATACCTATTGTGTATTTATATTTCGAGCACAGCTCGTGGCCGTCCGTTCCCGCGTAGAGTGGTGTCGCTGTCGCCGTCGGTTGCGTAACCAATAAACATAAAGAGATAACCAATGCGCATGAAAACTTAAAATCAGAAAGAGGTGTCCAGAATGGGACGAGACTTGAACCAAGGCAGTCAGTTGAGTACTCTACTGCACAGCCACGATGGTGCTTGAAACTTGTTTGCGAGAAAGTCCTTTTCAGACGTCGTGTTGGGCAAGGAATCGCATTAACGTGTGTAGCAAAGTGTGGCAGAGGAGTGAAATAAGAACCAGTCACGACACGATGTTAATTGAGCAACTGGTGCTGGGTGTAATGCTTGACACCAGCTGCTGAGTGCCGAGTTATCAACGTCATAAGACACATGCAGCATCAACAAGTGCCCATAATACCTTTCAGGCGTCTAGCGGGCACCTCGCTCGTCTGCCAGAAGACGAATGGCCTGGTGGTGTGGTCTTACTTCCCAAAAATGATGATTCATGGCATAGTGGATGCTTTGCGGAAAGCGAAAATTTTAAACACAGCTCGCCTTACTCCTACGCGAAGCTGAGCTCCGAATTCTCAATAGGCAGCGTGATAGTTTTAATATTTTTTCTTGCTTTGTTCCTACTAAGCGCAGCTTATCATTGGCTATGGTAAGAGGGGCGAAATCACGTCAGCTGCAGACAGGAATTTGGTCGTTTTCACAGGACAAGGTATTCCAACGATAGATGGTTGAGGGAAAACAGCTGCTTTTTATGAGTAAGTTATAGATGTAAGTGGTGAAAAAAGAAATTAAGATTGTACGAGTTATGGCTGCAGGTAGGTTTAGCAGAGTCGGAGTACTTAAGTGGGTGCAGTGTGGCGGGGTTGAATTAAGGTGTGCACTAAACTTAGGCTTTCGTTGTCAGAGTGCTTAATATTAGAGATTAGAAGAACTGAGAAGTTTCTATCATGGTAGATGAAGCCGAACAATGGCACTGCTCATCACACAGCTTCCAGGGTATATTGGTGAGCCCTTCAAATCTCCCAGTCCACCTCGGTGAGCGGCAGAGTTGCGAGGTGTTACCAAGTTAAAAACCAAATAATAATTTCAGTCCAGCCCAAAGAAATAGAAAATTATTCAGTGTTCCTGTTCTCTAAATGCTTCTGAACGCACTTTAAAAGTTTGCCAATTACGTTTAATAGTGCGTGAAGAACGTCGCTTGTTCAATCCGCCAACGTACGTTCTTATACTCACGTCTACACGATGCCATCGACTAATACGCTGTCGGTAAATGACAAACGCCGTGTCGGTGAACCTAATGATCATCTAGATAACAATATATTTGCTTGCAAAAGTGCAAATGAGCCACAAAAACGCCACAACGAATTGACAATTCCTACAAGTGAATCGGCGACAAAACAAAAGAAAAGAAACCATGATGCGGTATATATAACCGCTGCTGGCGACTATAGTTTCAGGGCCGCCATATTGTTCAATAGCATTGGCGTTTTGTGTCGTTAACAACTGAACGAACAGTGCTACGGCAGACCAGTGAGCGTTGAAGTGGTTTGGTTGGTGCAGTCCACGTTACGCGACCTTATGAATTGACGTCGCGATATAAAAAACTACGATACCGATCAATGGCGGCGCCCACGTGTCTACACGCAATCATACAGGGCTATTTTGTGTAAAGCACGCAGGTGTTGGAAAAAGGGCGGGATTAGGTTGATAGAGTGAAAAAAAAAGAGAGAAACAGTGTTAAAAACCTAGAGAACGTGACGCACACAAAAAATTCTGAAGGAAACGTCCCTTCTTTTGCCATTCTTTTGTGAACCACAGGCGATGCGATCCATCAGCAATCCTTGTAGGCGCTGAAGGCAGCTGAAGGATTTTTTTTTTTTTTTTGTTTGGTGCAGAACAACGTCATTAAAATTTTTGTAACTTTTTTTTGCTCATCACGCATGCCTCCAACGCAGCTCCATAGAGCTTTTTTTTTTCACTTACTGGCTTTCTGATACTCATAATGAAATAGACAGAGAAAGCATGCAGCTTTTTAAGCCTATCGCCCTGAGTGCTCGTTTGTGCGTGCTTGGTCTTTCGTTCGGAACTGACGCCTTTGCTCAGGCGCATCGTTAAAACATAGATGGATCGAAAGGGAAAAGAGGGGACTTTATTCGGCGTCACTTTAGGGGAGATTCCGCTTCGGGTTTCGTTTTCCCGCCCGTTCTTTTATGTTATCCATCCACGTAGTACAGAAGCTTTCTTCTGAAGTCCTCCCACCGCACCAGGACGCCGTACCGTTGCCCCACCGCGGTGGTCTAGTGGCTCAGGTACTCGGCTGCTGACCCGCAGGTCGCGGGATCGAATCCCGGCTGCGGCGGCTGCATTTGCGATGGAGGCGAAAATGCTGAGGCCCGTGTGCTCAGATTGGTGTGCACGTTAAAAAAAAAAAACAGGCGGTCGAAATTTCCGGAGGCCTCCACTACGGCGTCTCTCATAAACATATGGCGGGTTTGGGACGTTAAACCCCACATATCAATCAATCAACGTCGTACTGCTCTGACGAGCAGTGTCGTCAAGGAGTGAAGAGGGGAAAAAAGTAAACAAAAGATTAAAAGGGACACCACCCAATCCCCTGGCATCGGTGGCAGAGGTGGATTGGCCCAGCGACTTTTTTTGTTTACTTCTCTCCTTCATATATTCTTTGCCGATTGGCTTTTGGTGTAGTAATCCTTTCTCGGTGGCTTTTTTTATTGGCTCGGCTACCTGCGGTTCTTGTGCATCACTTCCGAGATCTTGATTGATAGCAGTTTCGTTCAGTTCTCAAGGCGGTTTGCACTCTCTGGTCTACTCGTTTCTGAAGGAAGGTTGCTGCGTTGTTGAGACGTGATTAATATTAAAAAAACATGCGCTGTAGCATGTGAAGGAGCGCATGGGTCGACTTGAAAATTTCGTTCTTTACGGGCAGCTTTCCCGATGTTAACGCGTCCTTGCAACTCGAGCACACCATGAATTCACTGCAGGTTGCGTTGCTGTTACTGGTTTCAAACTCTTGTTTGGAGCACACCACGCGGGAGCACGTGCGTTCATCGCGCGTCCGCAGAATCTCGTTCTCCGACGCCATCACGTGATTGCTGAAAGAGTTTAAGGGAGAGAGGCCACAGCCATCACATCCGCTTACGCAGGGCCGAACGCGCTAGCGCGTGCTAGCGCGTCCTGACTAGGATACAACACGTTGGTTCATCGCGGGTCTGCAGAATCTCGATCTCCGACGCCATCAAGTGATTGCTGAAAGAGTGTAAGGGAGAGGCCACAGCCATCACATCCACTTACGCATGTCCGAACGTGCTAGCGCGTCCTGACTAGGATACAACACGTTGGTTCATCGCGGGTCTGTAGAATCTCGTTCTCCGGCGCCGTCACGTGGTTGCTGAAAGAGCGTAAGAGAGAGAGGCCACAGCCATGACATCCACTTACGCATGTCCGAACGTGCTAGCGCGTGCTAGCGCGTCCTGACTAGGATACAACACGTTGGTTCATCGCGGGTTTGCAAAATCTTGTTCTCCGGCGCCGTCACGTCGTTGCTGAAAGAGCGTCAGGGAGAGATGCCACAGCCATCACGTCCATAGAGTTTCCCAAAATACTAGAGGCCACTCTGGCGCTGCGATTGTTCAGCGACCATGGGAATAATGGGTAGTATACACATTTGCCTAGTCCTCGTACTTGCGGGTGGCGAATCGTACTTGCGGCTTCGTTTATTGCTAGTTACGGTTTTGTTTTGTTTTGAAAGAAAAAAACAAACCCTTTTGAACTCAGAGACTTTATTCGAAATGGTAAGCCTAAAAGAATAAAGTTATGAAGCGCAAGCGGTGAACGTTTGCTAATTTATGTTTTCGTGAAAAAACAGCTCTAAGCCACACGAACACACACGGAGCCAGAAGCAGGCCAGAAGTACGAAAATTAGACAAATATGTGTACTACGCATCATTCCCATGCTCGCTGAAGGGCCGTGTGTTGCAGCTCCCATAGACACTAGCGCCAGAGTTACCTCTAGTGTATATTGATCAACTTTATGATCACATCCACTTACGCAGGGCCGAATGCGCTAGCGCGTCCTGACTTGGATACAACCAACGCCGACTAAATTTCGAGGCCGGAAGGCTGCCGCAGTGACGCCAGAGGTTGGGGGCCCAGTTGCCCAACTGAGCATGCTCAGTAAGACTTTTTTTTCCACATCTTTTATTCGGCCCAATCAAGCCGCAGCAGCTGCGAGAGCGTTGGTTCTCCTAAAACGTGAACGAAACACAGGCTTTCCGCCGCGTTCGCGACGTAACTGGGCTCCCAACCTCTGACGTCACTGCGGCAGCCTTTCGGCCTTCAAATTTAGTCGGCGTTGATACAACACGTTGGTACATCGCGCGCCTGCAAAATCTCGTTCCTCGACGCCATCGCATGTTTGCCGAAAAAACTCCCAAGCAGTTCCCCGAGGGTGAACATGGTTAAGTGCGAATGCACGGGGTGATACTATGAAAGGTATTTATTAATTCGCACTATTATATTTATTAATCACACTACGGTGCTTTTATGGTCTAATGGTTCCTGGGAATCGCAATTTCATCACACGGGGGAGGTTACGTTAACGCACTGGCGAATGCCAACGGATTTTAACTTTACTCCCCCTCACGACCCGCTTTCGACGGGAGACTGAGAAAGAAGGCGGGTGCGCGAGAGAGAGGGGTGCGCGCGCAGATGCAGCGAGCGAGGAGAGCGGAGGAGCGAGCGAAGGGGGAGGGGGTATAAGGCGCGTTACTGACACCGATATCAGCGTCGCGTCCGTGGCTTATTCGGTAGAGCGTCGCGCTGCGGCCCGCCAAGTCCTCTATCTTTTAAAGATAGAGAGAAGACTGCGGACGCCGCCGACGGCGGTGAATGGTTTGGGGTC